ACGCCCAATATACTGATCTTTAAATGTCAGCTCCACCAAGTCCAAGGTCACCTCCTGGGAAATGGGTGAAAAACACTGCTTAAATTTTACTGGTTGTTTTTAAGTAGGGCCCACCAATCTGTTCATTTAATTACCAAATGTTATAAGAAGGGCTATTCAAAAGCAAGTCAATATCCCTAAAACTGCGACATAAAAGGGAAGCCCATACAAATAAATATCAAAGTTGTGCATGTACCTCAACTATTGTGAGCTGCAAAACACTGCATAATGTGATCAGAAAAAGCCCAAGGACTAAATCTGCGCTACAAGTCTCAGTGCATTTTGGAAGGTGAAATAAATTACTGCCTTTGTTCATGACATTAAGGAAGCCTCATTTCCTGCAGATTTTTTGTCTTGTGCAGAATGTAAGTTCTGACTGTAGCTCTTTTAATAGCTATTTTTATAGACATTTACAGGAAATGCCTCTAAGAGGTTCTGTGGTATCAAATAATGCAAATCCAGGCCATGGCTCTTCTTTTGACTAGGCCACCTTCTGTTTTTTTTACCATGCCTGGTTCACATTAATTTCTGGAATTTAAAAATATGTGAAATGTCTACATTTCTACCAAGCTCTGTTGAAGCAGGAGCATAAGAGTTCAAAAAGAGAGCAGAAATTGTAGGGAGAGAAAAAACACATAAAAATCCAACAAGTAATTCAAAAGTCCAAGGCTCATTTTCTTAGGGAAGAAGACTAAATTTCTTTCAACAAAAAATAAATGCCTTTCTTCCCCCAGACTACTGTAGATGGAAAGTCACAGGGCTCTGATTTGAGTCAAGTGATGGAATGGATGGAAACAAGTGGCAAAACCACACACCTTTGGGTCAACAACATTGACATGGACATCCTGGTATGGCCGCAGGCGGAACACTTGTGCAACTGTCTGATCCACACTTATCGTTTCTGCCGCAAGAACGAGAGAGGACAGCAGAGAAGTCAATGTCCCCAGCAGGTTTCAAGTGCTTTACAGGTACAAAACCAACACAGTGAGACTGTCATGAAACACAAATTTCAGGCTAAAATGCCAGGTTTGTTTAAACCATACTCACATTACCCAAAAAAAAGCAGATTTAGAACCAACTGCCCATTTTTTGTTAAAATTCTAATTCTTCCCTTGCTAAACAGACAAAACATTAATTTTCTTATGAAATTAAATACACATGCTAGCCAATCAAAGCTACAGCCCAGTCATGTCACCCTTCCTATGATTCTACTGTGTGCAAGTCTCAAGTTTTACCTTTTTGCAAATCTTCCTTAAGTGACTTCACTTGGAGAAGCAGGGGACTAGCATGGAAAAGAGAAGAAAAGTAGACAAGTTGAGATACCAACAGTCTCTCTGGTAAATCACACACTCAAAACTATTTAGTAACATGGACCACAGGATAAGTTAAAGAGAAACATTAGTATTTTCTAGAAAGCTTCATACATCATCCTCTCCACCTGTCTCTATCTTGCTCCTTACACTCTTCATAATTATAAGGTACTCCTGAGGTAAAGATGATACTACAAATAGGAAATTGGGTCACACAAGAACTTCTCAGATCCTCACACAAGTGTACTGCCGCTTTTCAGATAGAGGCTGAAGGATGAACAGGTTCCTACAAGAAGGCCACAAAAGTTTTATTTTGACTAGGATATACTGTAGAATAATCCTTAGGTAACAGCAGATCTAGGAAGAGGATACAGACATTGTTGATTCTATATTCAGGTGCTACTTGGCCTATAGAAGATCAGCAAATTAACACCAAACACAAAGAATTCCATAAATTTTAAGGAAGCACTCTTTCTAAAGTTAACCTCTTTACTTCTCTTTAGGCAGGAAAAAATCATGGCAGCATCCTGAAGCAAAGTTATGTCAGCCCTAAGAGCCTTTCATTATAGAAACCACTCCACATGAACAGATCCTTTCAGTGCTCCAACCTCACTGATATCAGCAAAGAGAATTCACCTGTATTCATCATTGGGATGTGCAATTTCCACAACATCTCCCAGCTTGATTTGAAGAAATACTTTAGGATTCACCACCAGTTCATCATCTACAAGACATAAATGGATGAGGGCAGTGAACAGATATATACTAAACACAGACACCTGCATGTTTGCATACAATAGCTCAGCATACATAAATACACCAAACCAAGATGAACACATCAGCAAAATGCTTTCTATTCCCCACATGACAGAGTCCCTACCCAGCCACTTCAGATCAGCCACTCCTGCAGGAACAAACAACCCAAATAACAGAACTTTCACAAAAGAAGTGTTCAGCTAATACTGTGCCTTATTTAGGGAACCAGAATCATCTTCTGTACTCTTCATACAACAAACATCAGCAGGAAAGCAGACAGCTATAGAATCTCAACAAGACTTATTAACAGTCTAGAAGTAGTGAGCAATCCAATCAGTGGCACTGTTATTAAGGCTCAGAAACACATCTATGTGCAGTCATAAGTCACTGTCATATATGTCACTCATTAGGGCGACCAAACCACCAGATTAAGAGAAAAGTGTTGCAACAAAAGTGAGGAAGAAAAAAAAAACTATTTTATTTTTTAGATACAATATTGGTCTCTTCCAATAAACATTCATTTATTTTGCTGTGTCCTATTATTAGAAAGAGCTTTCCAAACTCTGGCTGGAAATATTGCTTGTTACATCAAAGTTCCATCTTCACTCTTTTGTTTAAAAAAATCAATAAAACAATTGCTTTCAATTAAGTGAGTGTTGGTCTCACTGTTATGAGGTAGGAGATACTGACCACTGCCTCCAAACCCCTTCTTATGTATGACGAGCTTGTACACCTTGTTGGTTCTCATCTTGAGCTCCAGTTCCTCTCAGATGCTTCGAGCCAAGACGGTTAAAGGCATCTTGCATATCTAACATAGAAAGGAAAGCAAACACAGATTTCCTGTCAATGCAAAACTATTGTGTATGTTCTGCACGTGAACACAGCACGTCGTCCCGGCCGATTTCACCGCAGCGCGGCAGAACTGCGCCCAGCAGAGGCGACTGCGAGGCAGCTACAGGTACAGGCACCAGGAGAGAGGGACCTAAAAGTGTGTTTTTCAAATAGATTAAAGGGTTGTGCTTTGGAGAAAGTCATTTACCGAGCTACAAAGTCGTGGTGGGAAAAAACCCCCGTATAACTAAAATCTGTTAAAACAAACTCTATGAGCTAGAACTGATGCAGGTATGGAAAGAAGCGCTGCTTGGTGCTGCGAGCCGGCAGACCCGCGCCGGGGAAGCCGCAAAAGAGCAGGGCCGGAGAGGAAAGCGAACAAACCCAATCAGTTACAGTCCGCTGCCGTGCCTACAGGCATTAAGCAGCTATGGAACCGCTGCGTCCATTCGGCCGCTCGCTTACAGCGAAAGACAAGCGCATGGAAACACCCGAGTTCCTGCCCGGAGCAGCGGCGAGGCACGGTCGGGCACACGGGCTCGGCAGGGTCCTTACCCGCACGGGGGGCAGCAAGCGCAGAGCGAGCAGCACGGCGGCTCACGCCAGAGCCCCGGGGGAAGGACACGGGGGAGAACGGCGCAGTCCGGGTGCGAAGGGAGCCCGGACACCTCAACGCTCCGTGCCACTCACGGCGGACACGGGCCGGGGCCGGCTGTGCCACAGTAGAGCAGAGCACAGCAGAGCGCAGCGGGGCCCTGAGCTGCCGGTGCGCGTCCCGCGGGCACCGCGCGGCACTTCCGCGTCCGGGGCCGCGCGCCACGTGACAGCGGCGCCGCCACGGCGGGACGGAGCGGGCGGGACACGCCCCGTGCGGGGCGCGGCCACAGCGGCGGCTCCGGGGCCGCCCGCGCCCGGCCCGGATGCGGAAGTGATGCGCGCGGGGCGCGGCGCGGCGGGCGCGCACAGCGGGGCCGGCGGCCGCCGCCGCTCAGGTACCGGCACCGGGCGGGGCGCGGGGCTGTGCCGGCGCGGGCCCTGCCCAGCCCGGGGGCGGGGGAGACACCGGCGGTTGTGTAATTACCGAGAGCGGCGATCTCCGGTGCGCCGCCGCAGGGCGCCGGCCGGTGCGGGCGCTGCTGCCACGGAGAAGGAGCGGGGCTCGGGGCCGGGCCCGTCGGCGCTGCTGCGGCGCTCGGCACAAAGGGTCGCCCCCGGTCCTGCCGCGGCTGCGCTCGGGCGGCACCGCCGGCGGGGCGATGCTGTCCCGGGGACGAGTGGCCTCGCGTGTTCCCTGGAGCCTGGAGCGAGTCTCGCCCGTTTCTGCACAGGCTGCTCTTGCCTAGAGCACAGCCCGAGGCTCGGCTGATGAGCCCGTGTTTTGGTACACTGAGTAACTGATGGCCTCTAAAGGCCTGGCTTAGTCCGTTCCTGTCCGTGAGCCTTCGGGAGCGATTTGACGGCGGCGTTTCCCGTCGGCTTTTCCCGGTGCCGACAGGAGCGGTGTCAGCTCGGCCGGAGCTGCTGTGCCGTGCTCACAAAGAGCTGCCGCGCACCGGAGAGGACCCGGGACCGGGGCTGTGCCCTGGCACAAGGCATCCTCTGTACCGCGTGTCAGGACAGAGTGCTCACATGAGAGAAGCTGAGAGGCACAGCCTGCCGGCCGGTGGCTTAGAGACTGTTCGTTTGAGGCAGAGGATGTGAAGAGAAGTTGGAGTTTTTTTCCAAAGACTAGAAACTCATATGAAAATCCCAGGACATCAAACAATGCTGTAGTTCTAGTGAAGGAGGAGGATGTCTGATACAAGCCCCGGTGACTTGCTTTATAACCTCTTCTCATGTTATTCAGAAGATGTGGTTAAATCTGCAGGGAGATGTTTGAATGTGAAAATGAGGCTTGGGAATATCTTTTTGGCTTTACTCTCTTCTTTTGTTCATGAAGCATTTCCTTACATGCTCAAATCTTTCTCAGCTCCTTTCTTAAAGATTTATTTGGAAGTATCTTAAACGTATATACTTGAATCTTGAGGAATTAAGCTTTTCCTTTTAACCTAGTCCAGTAGCTGGATTTCAGTGATCCTTGAGGGTCCCTTCCAGCTCAGGGTTTTCTATGGTTAATCCAATGTACATTGATTTAATGTTGCTTTTATTTTTAGGATAAACAGAAAGCTCAGGGCAACTGTTCTTCAACAGCCCTGATGCTCTCATCTGGGGTGGAGTCTCCCCTTGATTCTTCTGTGTCTGCTGTACTAGAGGAGTTGTACACTGGACTGCCAGAGAGCATCTCCAGGGACCCCATGGCAGTGCCAGGGCCCAGCCTTGGATTAGATGCACAATCTGATGGGCCAGTACCCGTGCTGGCACACAGGGATGGGCCATGGACTGCTGCCGTAGGAAACTTTTGCCAGAAGACAGAGGATTTGGGTGATGTGCTCCAGGTGATTTCTCATGGGCCAGCAGAATCTTTTCCTGAAGAATTACTACAGGCTGGAGACTTTGCAGAGAATGAAAAAAGCAGAAAAGGACACTTTAGGAAACTAGACTGTTCTAGTGATGGATACAAGAAAGAAGATGAAGAGGCACAAGGTGCTGAGGCCCATCATGCTGAATGTTGCCCTTTAACTCTGGGGGAAAGTTGGTCAGAACAAGTAAGTGAATGCAGAAATGAATCCCTGCATGATAATTTGAATTTAGGGTTAGAGCCACTAGGCACTGGGTCTGGTAATGGGTTGCCTGGTTCTTTTTTGTGTCTTCTAGTATAGAATCATAAAATAGTTTGGGTGGGAAGAGGACCTTGAAGCTCACCTTGTTTCAACCCCTGCCATGGGCAGGGAGACCTTCCACTAGACCAGGTTGTTCAGAGCCCTGTCCAGCCTGGCCTTGGACACATCCAGGGTGTGTGTGTGTCAGTATCTGGATTATTGTGGGTCCAGTGAAACATCAGACAATAGTTCAGTAGACCAGCAGTATTTTAAAATACCAGTGTTTTCACTTGCTTAAATACTGTTGGAATGGTGCAGATGTGTAACAGAAAAAAGTGCATAGCTGAAGGTTTTAACTTAATTATTGAATGTTGTATAATTTTATGTGTTTAATTCCAAATTTTGATATCTGTTTGATTTAGCTGACATTTTTTAAAAAATTATTTATCACTTTTGTGAAATTAAAATCATTAAATTCTTTATAGTCCTTCAGTTTTCGAGATGAGTTTTCACATATTTCTAAATGCATGTAGTTAGGTTGTGGGATCATGGTTGGGTGGTTTTGCTGGCAGATCTAGGTCACCTGTTCCTGGGTTTGTGGTTTTGAGCCCAAGGAATAGTAGTTCTAATAGAGACAGAAAATGCACACATCTTCCCAGAAGTCTGGTGGTAGTGGTTTGGGGGTGTGAACTAGACATGGAGACTGTCTTCTCATTCCAGTTTTCAACAATTTGCATTTTAAGCCATGTACTTAAATTTTATCTGCTAAATACAGCAATGTTTTGGGGATACATCCTTAGTGCTTGTGTGAAGCCCTTGCAATGCAAGGCTGCCTCTGGCCAAGGCTGATGTGTCTGGAGGTTTCTTAGTGAATTTCTTATTCTGAACTAACCCAGCTGAGAAGATGCAGTCCCTGACACATGAAACACTTCAGAAAATCTGACCATTTTTCTGCCTAACCATAACTAACCACGTCTAACCAAATCCATCTTTCTGTCTTGTTTCAGGAGGACCCTCACTTAAATGAGCAAGAGGCAAAGTCTTTGAGAACCTATTGCACTGAAATTGCAGAATCCCTGAGGAACACAGGTAGTTATTTTAGCTGTATGTCCCTATCCAGCCCCTGCTTCTCTCCCAGTTATTTATTGTTGATTTTAAACGGGAGAGTGATTGTGGGATGGCTCATTTAGAAAGCGTTACCCTGTGTCACTATAACAATATCAAAACTTAATGCTGTACTTTCTCCTGGCAGGGTATGTACTTCACGACCTTTTCTGTAGAAGATGTGTTTCAGTTACTTGTTTCTGAAGCAGAAGAGGTTGTTAATAGCAGATGTTTAGCATTTCCTTTAGTTTCAAAGATGGAGTGTATGAGAGCAGTAATAGCATATATTTATTAAAAAGTATTATTCTTTTTGAGTGTTCTAAAAAGTAAAATGAAAAGTGCAGAATCCGAAGAAAGAGGACAGCTAAAGTAATTATTAATTTTATTATAATCCTCCATAATGTTTTAGCTCCAAGTACTTTGGTCACTTTTCCTGCATCTAGTAATTATTTTCATTTTCCCTCCGTGCTGTCTTTACCTAAACTTGTATTTAGCTGATGAATGCCATCTAGTCTTGGTGCTTGCTAGAAAATAGGGAAAAGATCTGCAGAAGTCTCAGTAAATATGTTCCCCATAAAGTTTTGAGTATGAAGATATTCTATAGTAACTGTAATTTTTTAAATTAGCACCTTCTTTGTGATTTTACAGAAAAAAAGTTTATGAATAATCCAAATTACTTGAGCAGATGAGATATGTCTTGTTTTTCTATGGATGAGTTACTGACAGACATGTCTCCAAGGAAGAAGAAATGGAAATGGATGCACAATGGCCAGCCCTATTTCTAGGCTGGAGCAGATTGAGCCCCAGCCTATGCTGAATTTTGATGTTACAAATGAGCATTATTTTAATGTTGGCCATGGCTTCCTGTGTGTTAAGTTACAGGACCTGCATTCTCCTAGCTTGATATTGGAGGAATCTGAAATGTACAGGACTTGGAATGCCTGCTGCTCATGGAAATGTCTGTATTGACAAGGATTGGGTTTTTTGCCTTACTGCACCACCATTGTGGTGGAGTAGTTTGTTTTTTTCCTCTAAAGACTTGTAGTAAAATTGTTAGCATCAATTCTCACTTCTAAGAACATTTTGGTAACCAATACTGCATGGAGTGTTGTGTACAACAACAAAAGGTACTTAATAAGCTGAATGCCTTCTAAATTTAGCATATGGTTCTGATTTGCTTTATTTTTTTCTTATGCAGAAGAAAACCAAGCAAATGTTCAGGTGACAGCTGAAACTCTGCCAAAGGTTACTGAAGAAGTACAAGGTATGAAGGCTGATGGGACTAGGATATTTAGTAAAGCAGGATACAGGAATGACAGAGTGAGTAAAGGTCTTCCACCTGAGAGCAATCAATGCCCAGATGTAGACACAGTCATTGCCAGAGCTGGGGTTTCAGAAACCAGCATCTTAGGTTTTTTAGAGCCTATAAAAGTCATGGACATTGGAGCAGCTACAGATCATCCACAAAAAACAAGTGACTATAGTGGGTCAAAAGCCCATGCTGCCATGCCATTGAGAACAGGGGGGAATGGTGTATCTGTTATGGAGATTAGAGAAGAAAAGTTATCCAGACGAAATCCTCTTAATGCATTCAGTACGTCATTTGCTAATTGCCAGACTTGTCAGCAGGATGAAGAAAATGATGCTTATGGCTGCTTTAAGGGTCCTGTACCTGAACAAAACGAACCTCATGAGTTGTTCTCAGCAGAAAGCTGTAGAACACTCTCCACACAGAGTTCTGAAGTTTTATGTCCAGTTCTGAAAAGCATCTGTTATCTGGACTTTGGAAATATGCCACTAGAAAGCAGTTCTGAAGTTCCTGGAATTATCAGTGAAACCCCCCAGAAGTACCTTCCCCGAAATATCAAACATCACACTCTTTATGATCATGGAACTGGGTTTTTAGAAAACCAAATGTCCACATCTGCACCAGTAGAACAGATCTTGGCAGTAAGGAACAAAGATTTGTCTAGTGCAAAAACTGATCCTAGGGAATCAACTGCTACTATAGGAAAATCATACAGCTCTGAATCTGAAGAAGCAGCTGAAGTCTGGACAAAAATTGCTGTGTGGGATAAAGTTGAAATTTGTAGCTGGCCTGAAGCTCAAGAGGCTGCTAATTCTGAGCAATATCATTCTCTAAGTTTTAGTTCTGTTGCTTCATCTCCTGAGGAGTTCTCAAAAGAAAAATTTAAAATATTCCCATCAGAAGGTGATAAGTTGAAAAAGGACCAGTGGCAATTCTCTGTCAGTGACCCAGGCAAGAATGATATAAAAGAAAATAGTTTGTGGGTGGAAACGAGTAACATTGCTTCCCATGAAACTGGGCAGAGAGACGTGGGCTTTTATAGTACTAGCAATAAAATTCCTCCTCTCAGTAAGCACAGCTGTCTTCATCTTAGTACCAAGCTAGAAAAAGACTCACCCAAGGCACAACTGCTTGGAAAGGAATCTGAGAGCAATACAACATCAAAAGAGTTGGCTGGTGGTTTAGTTGGGGCTGCAGAAGTTGATAGCAATGACAGCTTATCTACTGGGAACAAAACAAATTTGTTTTATACACTAAATGGAACTCTACCTCCTGTTTTACAAAAATCAAGAGAACCTCATTATAATGAGTGTCTTCGTTGTACTAATAATGAAGTTTCATGCAGGGACAAGGTTTGGGATAATTGGTCTAGAAAAGAATTAATTGGTGCTTCTGGAACAACAGCGGAACAAGTTGCTGAAGTTTTGCTTCATAAAGATAGATTCAAGTCTTCTGTAAATTCCATGACTTTTGATAACTCTAATACAGCAAGCAGACTATCCCAAATGAATATAAAATCTGCAGGAAATATGGAGAGAGTGGACACTGGTTTAGAAAATGAACATTGTCACACATGTTGTTGTAACAATAAGAGTATAAAAAAACACTGTACAGCTGCCAGTACTTACTGTGTTTTATCAAGGAGGGTGGATGAAGTTTTCCTGAACAGTCGTTCTTTTGGTGTTGAAGTTGATAAAATTGAAGAAAATGGTCATTTGGAAGCAGTGTCTTCATCAGGATATAACAGTAAAGAGGCAACCATCTTTCCAGAAGCACACGCCCCTTTGGCACGAAGATCTCTTCTTTGTGAAAATGACTGGGGCAACAGACGTATAGCTCTGCGTGGGTTAAATTATATTCCCACAGGAAAAAACATGTTTTGCTCAGCATATACTGCAGAGAAGTCTAATGCTACCTTGGCAAGAGATGAGATTTCAAATAAGAATATGGAGGTTGTGGAACCATTTGATCTTTGTAAAGTAATGGGCAGTGAAATAGTTTGTGACAGAGATGAGGCAAAAGAACAGATTGGCATGCGTGCTTCCCAGACAGATGAATTTGATGAAACAGGAGCTGTGGATTCCCCAAATACTCCTGAAGGCAATCAGAGAAATAGGACTGGTGAACAGCTATTAGTCAGATATTTGAACAAAAACATCTGTGCTCATAATTTTGGATTTTACAACTCTCTGTTAGGCCCATGGAAGAGAGAACTCGACACACGTGATCAGAAAGAAATGCCACTGCTCACAGCTGATCCCTCCGAGTGTAGCACTTCAACCTGTGAACCACAGCCAACACTTGACAACGTGAATGTTCCAACACGACGTGCTGGCCAAACAGAAGAGACCCTTTGTTCATTGGGAAATCAGTTTCATCCATGTCAGAGGGAGTCTGATGTCCCAGTGCTGGGCAGTGAGCACCATTTAGAAAGTTTAACCAACAAACCAAACACTGGCTCACAAATCATGGGTTGTTCTGTGGAAAGAGACAAAACTGATCCTAATCACAGTGAAGAGGCTCTGCTAAAAACAGGTGGTGACCTGCCTCTGTTAGACCATAAATGTGTAAGAGAAGCCAGGTTTAAAGGAGCTGTACAAGAGAATGTAATGGGTTTAGACTCTTTAATGGGTGTGAAAAATGAAGATTCTTCTTCAGGATACATGGACTCCATTAGTGATCTAATTGAAGAGAAGAGAATCAGACTACAAGAACATGAGAACAGATGTGAAAGAAGCACTAAAGGAGCTCTTGAAGAAAACTTTTCTGATGACAAACCACAGTGCTCACAGCAGCCTTGTTTTATCCAATGTGCAAAAGAGAAAGCAGAGCCGGCGTTTGCAGGAAACAAAATGCAGCAATCTTTGCCAAAGATAAAGTGGTTGGTGGAGAACCAGGAAAATACAATTAATGCTCAATTTCTGCCCATTTCATCAATTCATGGGAGTCTTTCATACAAGCCAGAAAATAGGAACATGCTTTCAGATACAGAAAACAGAGAAAGTCTGAGTATAAATCCTATCTTAAATAACTCTTCCCCGCAGTTAAATTTTGAGCCTGGTAAAGAAACTTTTGCTCAAAGGGGTGTTGGTCCATCTCGTTTTGGAACGTCTGACATCCAAGAATCTTGTGTTGAGACTCAAGCAGATTCAGAAACTGTGTCAGCACTGAACTCTCACATCTCTTTGCCTGAGAAAGAAAACCTGCGTACATCATCCGAGAGTACACAAAGAGATAATTGTGATTCATCTTCAGCTGAAGCTTTTAGCAAAGATACTTCAACGACAAAAATCCTTTCTGTAACAATTTCCGTTAAGAAAAAGTCCAGCAATATTGAGGTTCCATCTTCAGGGAATGAATCAGCAGCTGGCTCTCTGAGTGGTGCCAAAAGCTCAAGTGTTTGTGCCCACAGCAAAGAAAGTGTGAAAGGTGAGGGGCTTTGCATGCCAACTGTGAAAGACATGGACATTAGCTCACCAAAAAGTCCTCCTGGTCAAGAGAAGTTTAAGAATATAGATAAGCCTGGAAATATAAATGTGATTTCAGATAAAGAAAACAGAGAAAGTCTGAGTATAACTCCTATCTTAAATAACTCTTGCCCACAGTTAACTTTTGAGCCTAGTAAAGACCCTGAAGATAAAAGGGGTATTTGTGAATCCCATTCGGAAAAGCTTGACATCCAAGAAACTTCTAGTAAGACTCGGGTGGATTCAGAAACTGTGTCAGCTCTGAACTCTCACATCTCTTTGCCTGAAAAAGAAAATCTGTGTATGTCACCTGAGAATATGCAAAGAGGTATTTCATCTGCGGGCAAAAAAATTAGCAAAGATACTTCAATGACTAAAATTCTTTCTGTAACAATTTCTATCAAGAAAAAATCCAGCAATATTGAGGTTCCATCTTCAGGGAATGAATCAGCAGCTGGCTCTCTGAATGGTGCCAAAAGCTCAAGTGTTTGTGACCACAGTAAAGAAAGTCTGAAAGGTGAAGGGCTTTGCATGCCAACTGTGAAAGACATGGACATGAGCTCACCAAAAAGTCCTCTCAGTGAAGAGAAATTTAAGAATACCTGTGTACAAGAGATGATAGGAAAAGAGGCAGCCCCTAGAGGAAGGTTGCCCAAAGATTGTCCATGGGCTTTGTTGGAAGATTCTAAAGAGTCTGGTAGCAAAATAGTCTCCCTCAGGACTGAGAATTATGGAAAGGTTTTGGAAGAAATCCCAAGATCCAAATTAAATAATCTTTCAAAAGAAAGACAAAATTACACAAAGCTCCCAAACTTAGCAGGTACTAGTGTACCTTCAGAAACTGTGCATGATTGTCAGGCTGGAGCTGTATCTGGCACAGAGGCTGCCCCAGAAGTGCAGGATGATACAACGCCCATGTTTTCTCCACCTCTGAGCACACTATCAGACAGTTGCAAAGAACCATCCCCAAACTGTACGGTTTGCAGTGAAGCCTGTGTGCCTTACAAATTAAATGCATGGAGCAAAGATAATGTAAAGGAAGTAATAGAAGGCCAGGCCAAAATACCAACTCATGCAATTTGCAAGGAAAATGGGGCTTTTTGTTCAGAGAGACTTGATCGAATAGAGGAAGGTCAAGTATTTAAACAGAAGAAATATGGAAAGATGAAACTACATCAGTTGGGCAAGGCACAAAAAGAACAGAAGTTAGAACATCAGGAGAAAGCAAAAATCATACTGCAACCAAGTATGTTGCACAGTTCTGGACTCTTAAGCAGCTCTTCAGCTGAATTGATGACATCTAGAAATACAAAGTTTGGAGATGCTTCAGAGGAGATTGTTGCTGTAAGAGGCAGTGAAAATAAACTACATAGCACTTTACAAGAAGTTAAAAGGCCAAAGATTACCACAGATTTTATTAGTTCAGAATTATTGAAGACTCAGGATTCAGAAATGGAAAACCTGAACCTTAATTTAGGGTGTGATGGAATCCCTGGTGCCTTTGGAACTACAAATAAACAAAGAGGAACTACAAATAAACTAAGAGGACCTCTTCCATTAAAAATACAACCTGGAAGGACATGCAAAAAAGTTCCCACATTGTGTCAGCTAAAAACTGTAACAAAAAAAAGAAAAATTAAAAGTTTACCTGTCTCTGAGATTCCCCTGGAAATATTCCCTAAACAGGAAAACCCGCTTCTGGAATCTTTGTACTTTCCATGTAAACCACTGACAGTGGAAAAGGAAACAGCCATGAGATTTGTGCATATGCCAAGGCAGAGGGCCAAGAGGTGCAGTTTGTTGAACAGCATGAAATTTAGAAAATGTACCAAAGAACCAGCATTGTTGAGGAAGTTGTCTGCAATGGCCAGCAAGCTCCTGGCCCCTGCCAAAAGCAGCCATAACTTAGAACCTCTGCCATATTCTTCTGAAATTCTTCCAGTGGGTGACAGGTACAGTCAGTGTAGATCTAAAAATCTCTTGGAAGCCTTTTCTTGCATTAACAGAAACGTACACTCACGCTGGGCTGACAGGTGGTGCACCAAGATGTTCAGCTTTCAGCCTTTGGCACTTTATCCTGTAGAAACTACCAAAATATTTTCTTCAGACTTAAGCCACAAGCCTCCAGCCTCTTTCTTGGACACCTCAGTTTTCCCAATTTCTTTTCACATAAAATTGGACTCCAGTCCTGTGACAGACCTCAGAGGGATTACATCCCAGCACTCTGTACATCACAGCCCAGTTTTCAGAGAAACGCCAGCACCAGCTTCAAAGTGGACTTTGTCTTTTCTCCTGTCTCAGAGCTGTTCAGATACAACAGCTTTCAAGGAAGATTCCCGTGTAAATAATGAGCTTCATTCCTCTCACTCCACTACAACCCCCAGGACTGTTGCTGTTCATCCTGACCCTGGAAGAAACACTGTAGCTGGAAGAAGAGGAGGTTGTTCCAGGCTTGGCCTTCACACAGTGTTAGCACTTTCTTCCCCTGGATGTTACAGGATTTGGACAAGAAGAAGAAATGTAACCAGTCATATTCCTACCATCCAGAGACTATTTATATCGCAGTTGGCACAGGGTTTGAAAGGGGACAGGTACCCGAGGTGTGTGTCCGATGAGCTCGTCTCCTCATTGCCATACTCACTGGGCAGGGTGTTGTCCATATGGAGTCAGCACGGTCCTTCTGCCTGTCCTTCCGAAATCACTCCTCTCCATTCCAGTTACTGCAAGTGGCAGCCAAGTGTGGGCATCGAGAACAGGTAAAACCCATCAACTTCTTTCTGAGATTAAATGTGTGCAGGGTATATTCTTGCTCCTTTTTGGGAGGGAGAGGGTAATTGCAGCTTGCACTGGAGGGTCAGTTTCTCCGGTTCCGGATCTACACATTCTGCTCCAGGAATGGCTCAACGTGGAAGATCCTTTCTTACAGAACAATCTTTTAGCTGAATTTAAATATATTTGCCTTCACTTCTTTAATACTATCCTGTTTTGGCAGAATGGCTAACTCTGTTTTCTTCTCCCTTGCAAAATATACACACCATGCATCAGAGTATATAATGCAAAAGGTGAGCTACTTCATTAGGTGTATTCAGAGTGACTGCAGAGGAACTGGATTTCTGAGGTAGGAAAGTTTTTTTCAGAGGTTTGAGCCACAAATACCCGTTGGAACCACTGTAAAATGCTCAATATCAGGTTAGGAAGAATTGTAAAGGGTGGGGCTCTGTCATTCAGTAACAATTTTAATTGTATTCCATGACCATTCTGTGCTAACTGAAACCTCTTTATGCATGCTATGGCTTTTCATATGTGATGTTGGCACAAACAAATGTAGCTCCAGTTAACATTGGTAATGAATTTTTCTCTGTGTGTCAATCTTGTTACGAGTGGGAAGAGGACTGAAATCTACTGTGCATATTTAATTTTTACTTTGTTATGAGCATTTAAGATCGTTTTGCTAATAAAAAGAATGAAAGAAGTTCCTAGCTCTGTTACAGGATTTTTGCATGCCCTTGAGAAAAGATTTTGACCTTTATCCCTCAATAACATAGGGCAGTTCAGTCCCTGATTTGTCACCTTGCAATTCCTGGGCAGAGAGCTTCATGAGCACTGTACCAAAGTCTATTTAATTAATTGTTTTGATTAGTGTGGCAGTCTGTAGAGAACTGTTGAATTTAGCCTATGTCACAGACTGACACAAGTGTGACCAAAAATCTTGCCAGATAACAAATGCTGCACTTTGCTTTGTATAAATGGGTAACATGCCTAAAAGTTTATCACTTGTTGGTATCAATTCTAATGTCTGCCACAGGTGTGAGTGCTCCATTCTAAAGATGTCTGCACTAAAAAAAATTAAATTGAATAATGGCATAGAGACAACTTTTGCAGCACATTCTATGGGACTTGCTTCCATTTTCATACCATACTCTGAAACTGATCATACCAGTAAAGTACAGTTTTGAGCACTAAATTTAAAAATAACATATTGTTAAAAATAAAACAAACATCTCCTTAAAACTTAGTTGTGTGTATATGGTGAATTCAGTGTTTTGTGTTGCTGAGGCATGCTCTCCTTGGGGGTTTTCCCACAGCCCTAAGCCTGCAGGCTCCTCAGCAGCATATCCAGTTAACTAATGTATAAGAGGATTTCATTCCTGACATGAGGAGTCATTGGAAAAGTGCATGCTTTGCTATGAGTGGTGATGTTTTTCCCAAAGGGAGAGTATTCAAATCAAACATCTTCACTTCAAGTGAAAAATAATCCAGAGTTAAAATACCCTAAAACTCAATTTGGTTTTTTTTTCCTCTAAAACACCTTAAACTGTGTGTATAAAGCAGATGTAAATCTGTCCCACTCAGATGTTTGGTACATAAATATAAAAAGTATGTTTGGTGCAGTATAAAAGCCTTTTCAGCTACCACTGAAAAGAAATGCTTACCTGTTTTAAGGTAATTAAAAATCAGAAAAATCAAAAAGTTCCCTGCAGGCCATTTTCATCTGGAAAAGATTTGTTCTCTTTCAAATATTTCACTCACAATTAGTGTTCTTAATAACCAGGAACTAAAGTTCCTAACTTCTGCTGTCAATAATAAAAGCATTCTTTCAGTGAAGTTTTTTTCTAATTAATGCTTATTTGAATTAAAAATTTCTAAAGTGATTTCCTTTTGTCCTTGTAATTTTGTATTATTATTGCATAAAACAATAAGCTCTGTCTCTAACTATTTATACAGATTCCAGTAACACTGAAATAATGAGTGCAACGTTGAAACAAAATGTTACAGTTCTGACATAAGTGATAAACACATTAAGCGTGTCTTTCTGACCTCTTTATGTATAGTTGGACTGGCCTGTGCTTCCAGCATGACTGGTTTTCATTTCCTTTGTAGAATTTCAGTCTGGCTGTAACATCTTTGCTTTAGAACAGTGAAGTGCATTTCACTGTTGGTTTGAGAGAACAGCAAATACAAGATTTGCTGTTGAATGTAATAAAAAGTTGTCCCAAGTGATTTCCTGCTGTTAACAGTATGGGCACAAAAGTAAAGTTTAATACCAAAGGACTTAGAGCTGCTGTGCTGACTTTTATGCCATAGAATTCTGGTAATTACCAACCCTTATGGAAAGGCCTTTGGTTATTCCAGTCAAGTAAGGGTATTGTAGGCTGTGGTTGTTAAGAGACAGCAGGGAGTTAATTTAATGGAAGTACTTCCTTTTACCTGTTACTGTTGCCAGTGTGCACTATTTTCTTTAGTAACCAAATCCTTCAAGGTTTGTGGCTACTTTAATTGTAAAAACTTGAGGTTTTGAGTAAGGAATGTAGACTTTCATATAAAGAATTACAATTTTCAGACTTTAATCACTATGTAGAAATAATTATTACTTTCATTATTACTGTCTCACTCTCTTTCTGTGCCTTTATTTCCTTTTCTCATTACTACCATTTTTAAAGGAAAGCAGGACAGTTTTCCTAACAATGAAATTTAGTTGCCTAAACAGCAGATGTGGCTTTATTTTGTATCATTTTAGTCTTTCATTCTCATTCCTGATATGAGCATCTTGTCTTACAGTCCAGTTTATACTAATAATTTTTTCCTCAACTTTTTATAGTGTAGACCTAATTTCTGTCTGTCTTGTTTTGTTTTGTTTTTTCATTCCTCTTTGACCCAGCTGTGCCATGTTACCACACTTACCTGTACAGAGTATGGGAGGACTGCAGATCGCAGGCCATGCGATACGGTGAGTATCTGGGATGTTGGTATTTATTCTGAGTAGTGGGATCATAACCTTCCTCAGAAAGCCATTGCTTATGTCATTTTGGCTTTCAGCTTTTGGCAGTTCACTCCCAGAACAGCTTTCTGATTAAGGAGTGAGTGAGGTAAGCTGACTGGGTGATGTAATGGAGGAGTGGAGGGGCAGTTATGCAAACACCACACAGAACATTGGACAGAACAGTTCTGTTACTTTCAACCGTGTTGTGCCACTTCTTACGAACTGAATATGTGAAACTATAGAAGTTTGACTCCTTACTTGGATATAAGTCCTTTCTGCCTTAGCAACTGGTCGATAGGTGCTGAAACTTCCTTTTACTCCTTCTAAGTGTAGGGATGGCAGGTATCAAAGCTGTATTTTATCTGTAAACAAAAAGTATGATTAATAGTTGTGCCAAAGAAATTTGCTTTGGAGGAAGGAGAATTGATCCCTTTCTATCAGTTGATATATAGAGATGTATACTGTATAGCTGTATGAAAAGGAAAAGAGTGGGTTTAAAATTACACATTCAAATACTCTGGCAGTTTAGTTGGTGTCAGTATCAGTGTGGGATGCAGCAGGTTTGGGTTGTATGTGTGTACCAGAGTTCACTTACTTGGGCCATTTCTGTGAAATGTGTTGGTTTTTTGTGCCCATATGCAATTTAGGAACATCTCCTGAGAGCATGGAATGCTGTTGCATTATCAGTTGGGTATCAATCTACACCTGTTCTCTTCTTTCTCTGTTACAGCCTGGAAACTTCATTCCCTCCGTTACCAAAGCCTCATGCACTTCCAGAGTCACTGCCATCTCCCCCCAGGCTTTCAGCATCTGAGCTCCAGATCCCTGCCCTTGATGAAGTAGATGCTTCTGTTCCAGCCTGTCTGAGATCCCAAGATGACACAGAACTGAAAAAAGTTAGTTCATTTTATATTTTAGATCTCTCAGACTCTTGGTTCTCCAGAAGCTGAAGCTGCTGCTGCTGGATATTACCAAGTAACTGTTAAAGATGAAGAGAGAAAACAGGCTGCAAGTCCTACTCTGTGCTGCTGCTTGCTTTGATTCAAGCAGAAACAAGGTGGCAAACCAGAGAGGAATGTTTATTCTATAGATAATGTATATTCAGAATAAAAGGGAATTCTGTTGACTGGTATGGTTTTAATTTCCTTGATTTTAACTTTTCCATCTTTCTTTCTTAAGACTGAGCCAGAAAAGAGGCCAAAGAAAGTCTCACAGATCCGAATCAGGAAAACTGTTCCTAAGCCAGACCCTAACCTTACTCCAATGGGACTACCCAAACCAAAAAGGTGAGCAATACCTCTGGAACGGACTCAAAGCATATGAGTAATCATTTCAATAAATGGTTCTTTTACCACCACTATTTTATACACCCCCAGTTGAGTGACATCTGATGTTTACTTCCTTTACAAGAAATGATTGACGCAGCTCTATCATCTGGATCAAAAGTGCTGACTGGAGTTTAGGCAAAATGTGAAAAAGCAAGCTGCAATGCAATCATTTTTCTAAAGAAGAAATAAGTTTTTATTGATAAAAACCTGCAGTGTACAGTGAGATGAACTGATCTGTTAGGAAGTTCTGTTGATGCAAATTGTGTTGGAGTTTTTCAGTTTGTTTGTGGTATGATCTTAGGGAAGCATTGGTTCAGTGAAAGTATGGGGAATCACAGTGCCAGATGTTGATAAAGTTTTCCAATCAGTCATTTAGTGTGACTGCTAGTCATACTGGCCAGATTAGTCATACTCAATCTAGTATGACTTCTGTCCTAAACACAGCTACCACCTTTGACAAAGGAATGCATTTCTTCAGAGATCACCTTGGTAATTGTCAATAACTAAAATCGGTGTCAATAGATGAAGTGTTAATCCGTTAAACTGTAAAACTTCTCAGCTTTCACAAAAAGGTGAAGGGGATTTCCCCTTTTGAGCATCATTATTTCAAATCATCACAGATTGCTGAAAGGAATATTGATCTCTGCAGAAAGGGCATGTCTTGACACTGACCTTATAAAAACACTGTATGAAATTATGTACTTAATGAGTTCATTTTTCATTCCTCCTTGTCCCCAGTTAGCTAAAGCATAATTAGTTAGCATTTAGGCACAGAATGCAAACAGTACTTGTTTCTTGAAAATCTGCTTGCTGTGAAGAGAGGTTGAGATTCTTCCTTCTAGATTGATTTGTCATTACTTTTTCAGGCTTAAGAAGAAAGAATTTAGTTTAGAAGAAATTTACACAAACAAGAACTATAAGTCCCCTCCTCCTGCCAGGTTGGTTCTGCTTCCTAATAAGAAAAATTGAGATAAATGTAAATTAACTGGGGTTGGCGAGAGAGGAGATGAAACATGTATGAATGCTAAGAGGGAGATATATTCCTAAAATTGGTTTAGTTTAAACTGCTGGAGAAAGTTAATTTCAAAATGGTATCTTTTACCGTTTGAATGTGAAAAAGTGAAATATAATATGAACTAAGAATTTGCAGCTGGTTAAGTATGGACTTGTATATTTTTTCATCTATCCATTTGTTCTGGTTTCCATCAAAGTATGGTACTTACTTTCCAAAATTCAAAGGGAATTACATGTTCTTTAAAATACTAACAATAACGGCCTATCATCAAATGTTCACATGTATTTATTCTGTAAAATTAAGATTCTATAATTGTGCTTTAGAACTGAAATACAAAGAGATTCTACCCAAATGTCTGTGCAGCAATAACAACTCGGCTAGCAGTAATGTGCATTGTAGGAGGTGTAAGGTGTGTGGAGGGGCTGTAAAAATGTAAAAGTTAGAAGTGTGTTTACCTGGGTTATGAAATCCCCCCGTCTCCTTGTCAGTGTATGGTGGCTGTTGCTATGGTATTCATGAATTCTTTTCTTTTTTTTACCAGGAGCTTGGAAACAATCTTTGAGGAGCCCAAGGAGAAAAATGGACACTTGATCTCTGTCAGCCAGCAGAAGAGAAAGAGGATTCTAGAGTTTCAGGACTTTACTCTTCCCCGGAAAAGGAAGACACGAGGCAAAATCAAAGCAGTGGGTAGTTTCACCCGAGCAAAAAGAGCTGCACTGCAGAGTGCAGAGTTAGATGTTCTTCTGAGTCAGAAGCTAATGGACCTTGAAGCCTTTTTTGCAGAGGAGGTTGAGCAGGAGCAGGCCTCCACCATCTGAGGGAGTCACTTAGCTGGAAACGGTCTAGTCAGCTTCTTTAGTATTGTTTTCCTTGGGAGACATCTACTGACTTCTTCATACTGGCTTCATCTACTGAATTCTGCCACTCTGTTCTAACATCTGATAATCAGTTTTTGGCTGTGACCCTCTTTAAGGTGCTATTTTTTTTTTTTATGCTGTTGGAGGGAATCTTTTAAGTCCCTGTTTGAGTGTAACACAGCCATATGAAATTTACCCATCCTTTCTCAACCTCTGGAAATTACTGCTTATATTTAATTAATTATGTTTAAATATCTTTTGGGGGTAGAGTAGGAGTGTCAAGGAGGAAGTAGTGCACCTTCACTGATGCTAGAACTCTGTACTCCAGATCATTTGCACATTTGAGTCTGCTGTTGTTACTGTAATGGCTGTTTTTAACAAGCTGACAAAAGAGATATGGTGTTTGATAAAGAAAAATTTTAGCAAACACATTATTGATATACCACTAACCTTTTGATAATTAAAAGTAGCTGTCTAGGTTTGTGTTCAATTCTTTCTTCCTTCTGTTAACTTAGAAGGTTCCTTCTAAATTTCTTTGCCCTTCCTGGCTCCAGGCACCAGAAGCCCCACATAATTAGATATTAAACAATTTGCACTTTGTATATGCTTCTTTTAACATGATTCACCTCAAAAAAGGTAACATTTTAAGGAAATATGGTGCCCAGTACTATTTTTTCCAAAAGAGAAGATTTTTTTACTTACTTGGCTGATGCCAAATTCTTCTCCAGGGAAAAGGTAATTAGTCCATGAGGGTGTTAAGCTGCAGGATATATAGGCAGAGATTTTTATTTAACTGAGCTGAGCTGCTGCATGCAGGGAAGACCAGCAAAATCTTTAATACTTGTTTTAAAGTTATTTTAATTCCATTCATACTAACTTGATTTCAATGTCAACAAGAAGGATTTTTTTTTACCATTTTAGATTTACAATTCTTGTAGCTCATCATTAGATATTCTCTGTACAGCACTGTTGTACATAATAGCCAGTGCAGTACCAAGAGCCTCCGAGTATGTGGACATTGTTTTTGTCATGTAAGGCCATATGCAATTATCTGATGCAGCACTGGCCAATTTCTCAGCTCTACCTTTGGAAGGAAGAGAGCTCCCTTCTGGCATAACTTCTGTTAAACTTAACTTGAAGCATAATTCCAATGCTAGCTGCTGTTCAGGTAATTTCTGTCCCTTAGTGCCTAGAGAAGTTATTCAGGCAAAGCTGTTGTTGCTGGGATGCTCAAATTTAGTCTATTCTTTCTTTCACTTGTCACTTGAACTTGCACTTTCTTATTTATCTACCCATATAATAGAGTTTCTATTTACCTTCAAATTGAGCAAATATCTAGTGGGTGGGTATTTTTTGTAAAGTCCCAATAAATGCAGGACTCCAAGTACCATCATTATCTTCTGTTGCTCTACCACTTCTGTTACCGACCAAACAGAAAACTAAATTTTAACAAGCAATCTGTTGAATTTCAGAGCTTTGAGTAGAGAAATGGAAGAGGATTATTACACTGTCTGTGCCTGTGTCTTGAAAGAAATCTAATCTGGGTTTGTTTTCTCCTAGTTTATGTGCTGGGATTTGTAGAAGTTTATATTCTTGTTTTGAAGGCTAATTATCTTTAATCAGGAAGACTGAAGAAAAGAGGAGTGCACATTTAGAGTAGTAGTGTTTGGAGTTTGAGGGTAAAATAACAAGGCAAACTTTGAACATATTGACATAGTATTTTTCTGGTTAACTTACTGGGCTGTTGTAGAACATTCTAATTGATCCTCTTTATTTTTGTAAAAAGAAATCCCTAAAAAACAAAGATCTACTGCTTCTTAAAAAATGTTTGAAAGTTTCCCTATGCTGGCTTATTAACCCAATTATTGACCAGTTGGAAGTGGTAGCAAGAGTGAGATATATTTTTATGGATTTATGCTATAGAATGGTATTGTTACAGAGTATTCATTCACCTTCTATTAATATGGGAGGCTTCCAGTGACACAATTAAGCTGTAACCTTACTGGGGCTTTCAAGGAAATAAAGATTGGGGTGGGAGGGAAAGACGGGTCCAGAAGTTCAGACCTCTAATGTGCTTCAAAACATGGAATGTGTTGAGTCTTTTCCTTTGGGTTATGTTGAGTTTTGTTTAGGGTGGGTTTGGTTTTTTTTCTCTTCCCCGCTCTCTCGTTTCTGATTGCATTGAAATAAGATTTATTAACTTTTTTCCTACAAGCTACAGGAGAAAGAGCAAAGAAAACACTCAAATACTCTTCAGTTTACAGTAATTGGAGGAGTTGCAAAATGATGTTGCAGTTGTTTAGCTTCTCGCAGACCTTTAGTTTGTGGAAACCCAAATACACAGCATTATTCTCTTTTGGTTTAGTGTTTGTATGACAATGTAATCTAGTGGAGACCAAGTATCTCTTCCCCTCTCCAGCATACAGGTGTCAGTCCTGCTTATGCACTTTTTTGTTTTTCCCTTTCCCACCTCTGTTTCTGTTTACAGCACTCAGGGAACAGCTATGTTCCTTGTGGCTGCTGCTTGTACACTGGGAGTGATAACTGGGAAAAAGCTGAGCATTTGCCATTCTGAGCTGCTTCTGTCACAGCTAATTAAAGGAAAAAGAATATGTACAAAAAGAAGGATATGTACACTTGCCTTTTCATTAAGTGGACCCATTCCAGTTTTTGTATCACCATGGAAAGTATATCAGACTGATGGCCAGAACAGCTTGAAAAGGATTGCAAAGCTTTTGCCATGTCCTGTCTCTTAGTAGAGCCAGGCAGCTCTTTGATAAATTTGCTGATTGTCAGGGATGGAAGGATCACTTTAAAAAAAAAAAAAAAGAAGAAAGAAGAAAAAAAAATCATAGTTTTCATCATGCTAAGACTGGAGTAGCTAAAGCTCCTTAATGTATGGTACAGCATTTTCCTATCTGGCTTGTGTCTGCATACGTTTGAGTTCTGGTGCTTGCTGGATATGACTTCCTGCAAGCAGTTCTCATTCATTGTATTTTATTTCAGGTGGGCCTTTGGTATATTATGTTCCAGGTGCTTTTCTAGAATGTGGATAGTAACTGTGGATTAAAAGTCTGTATGATGCTATCAAGGTAACAAATAGCTCAATGAGAATTTGTACATTTGTGCCATTAGCCTCCATCATGCTCTTGGCATTTTGTTTATGTTCAATATTGTGTGAATCTAAAATTTTACTGTTTCTTTTGTGTGTGTTTTTAATTTATGGAAATAAATTTTTCTGAGAACTTTTCAGGTTTTTAAGGCCTTTAAGCTTGTATGGGTAAATATGCATGATAATATGTCTTACATGCAGGGGGAAAGGCCAAATCTCCAAAGAGATCGGCACTGTTTGGTAACAGGGTGTGCTGTTACTGAGACACAAAGCAGCAGTTCTGGTGTTTCTTCATCCCAGCCTGAGAGATATTAAGCGTGATCTCGGCTACTATTCAGAGTACTGAGGCAGCATCCCTCTCTTCAGAAAGCAGGGTAGCAAGAGCCAGAGAGCACAGAAAGCACAAACAGTTTCTGCTCAGCTCAGATCTGAGATTCAAGACTGAGGCTGGGCAGTGGTTCATGTACCACAGGCTGTGCAAGGTGGCACACTGATGCTTGTGAATCAAAGCTGGAGCATGGGATCATCAAGGCCTAGTAAGCATTCGTAATGTCTGTGTCAGAAAAGATCTCTCCCCTCCCAACCCATAAAATTTTGTGTATAACCCAGATTTTTAATTTATCCCTGATCAGCTGCATGCTGCTCTTGGCAGAGCTAGGCTGCCAGATGCATTTCTTCACCGTGTTCTCAGAACTGTCTTCTCCCGAGTGCAGTGTCACACGGGCCCCACAGATGGCAGGGAAGCTCTAGGAAAGAAAGGCAGGAACACCTGAGAGGCCTAAAGAAGCATCCTGCTCTTTCCCTGCTCCTTCAGGGCTGCAGCTTGCTGGCTGCAAATGCATCTGAGGATTTGGCTCTGTAACCATACTGGAACAAGACAGGAAAGTGATGATGAACAGATGATTTCTGTTCAAAAGGCTTCAGATCATGTTCAGGCAGTTTCTGCTTGTAAAACTTTTGGTGTTTAATTGATAGATAGTATTTTGACATTTCAGAGAATCTTAAATTCAAAGCATCAATATAAAGTAATGGTTGGAGGTCTTGACAAAGGAATATCCACTGCTGCAAGCATCCAGCTGTGCTGGCTATTAAATGTGTAATACATTTATTGTGAGAAAAAAAAGTTTTGATTTACTAGTAAAAAACAATTGGTTGAAGAAGAAATATAGATGCGCATTCAGCAGGGGCTATTGAGCTGCAACCAAAATCACAGATACAGAAGACAATGTTGCAACTACCAAAATGTCAGTTGATTGGGCTTTTTGCATGGAAACTATTTATAAGACAAACAAGGCAAAATGCTACCAACTAACCTGTACTACTCATACCAAGTCTGTATTTCAGTCCATGGTACTGGCCCTGCTCTTTCCACAATGCTGATCCTAGTTCTCTGCTGTTGGTTGTGCTGTTCCCCATGCTGCCATGCTCCAAAAAAGAAAGGGATGATATATGAGTAGTATTACATCATCATAAACATAAAATCTGATTAAAAAAAAAAAAAAAGACAAGAAGGTGTTCAGCATACATCTCTGGAGATGATTGTTTCCTTGCTAATTGCTTTGGATTGGTTGGACTTGCACGTTTTCCTTGTTCTTGGCAGCAATGCTGATGGTACGTGCCCTGCAAAGCCTCTGTATGAGCTGTCAGTTGGATGAGGAGGCACAGATATCCTGTTTGCAGAAGTCCAAGATGCCTACAAACCAGTAAGAAAGTATACACTGAGAGATGCTATCAGCTTCAAAAGTAGTAAGTTCTTCAGATGCTATTGATTAAAACAGCAGAATAGAGAAATTCCCCTTTTGAATTGCAGTTACCAATTTAGTCTCACAGAAGCCTAACACAGGACTCCTTAGAAATTTGTTATGAACAGTTTCAGGTAGAACATACTTCTCCATGCAGTCTAAACAAAAGGGTCAGAGTTGTGCACAGAAGGCTGCCTGTTGCATTTCTCTCTAACTCTGAATTATGAGCTTGACTTTACCTGCAGGTGTGCAATTAAACACTGATTCTGCCAGCTGAATGAAAGACTCTCCAAGGATCTTCTGATAGCTCAGATGACTTGCATGAACAAGGTACTGAGTGGTGTCTTTAAAAAGCAGATCACTTTCACCATACTTCCAGGACTGAAAGAGCTGGAATTCAGAATCCAATTCACTTCCCAGAGATTCCTGAACAGAAAAGGAACAAAAGTTTCACAGCTTGGGTTATTAATAGTACTTATTAGTACAAAAAGATGCACTTTTGCAGTGCCTTGTTTCTCAGCAAAAGTGTGGCCTCTGTGGAATGGGAACTGGTGCCAAAATGCCCCTTAAAAGTATCCAAATAACTAGTTTCTCAATCTCCTGTGCACATTTTTTCTTTTGTATTGGATCTGAGAGCACTAGTATATAAAGCTTTTCATCTTGAAAGGGTTTTCAGCAGTTGTACATAACAAATGGTAACATGCCAAGCTTTTCCCTGTTACCTGTCACACCTGAGATTTCAGTAGGAAGTCAGAGATTTTAGTGACAGTGACTGGGCGAGTCATGACAGTGCTGGGGGGAATGGGGCCAAGGTTACAGCCTGCCCATTCCGTGACTGCGGCGCGTGTTCCGTCCGGACACAAGAGTTCAAAGTCAAGGGGGGTATAACCTTTTGCCCAACCAGAGCTGCCCAGATCTGAAAAGAAAATGAAGTGAAAGGTAATCCTTTTGAAAAATTAAAGCAGAAGAGAGAGTGAATCTCAAATAAAACGTTAAAACTTGAGAGGGAGAAGTTTAGTCAATGTGTTCAAAACAAACACAGCATGCTATGTGGTCATTTCTTAGGAATGCGTAAGGACCAGGGTAGTGTCTTCACTGAGGTCAGTGAACTTAAGCTGCACCTATCAACTAAACCAGAATAATATCAAGCATATGAACAGCATATCATGTCTCATCTGCATCTGTAACTAGATCCCTTTCTGGAAACAAAGCAATTGGGCCTGCATGCCCTTTGCTTCCCCAAACAAACTGCTAATTGCTGCAGGAAGGCCTGTGGGTTTCCAGCCCCTTATACCTTCATTAGATATTAGAGAGATTCTTCTCTTAGAAAAGTCTCTTCTCTTACTGAAATTGCCTAAAATAGAATTTTATTTTGCTTCAATGAGGGTTCCTTTTCTCTTTGACTCTAACAAAAATATATTTTGGTTTGCCTTTTAAAGCTTTGAAATTTAAAGCTTCCAGAAATTTATTGCAGTCTCCAAGGATGATTTTCCCAATACATATCTTTGCACTGGGTGATTCTTCTTCTTTCTTCCCCTACGGTATCTGAATGTTGAGCTTTACTGGAACGCCTACATGCAGAAAATTTCTAGCAATCTTCCATTTACAAACACAACTTCATGGACCTAGATTAAACCTGTAAAGGCTGATCCTCACAAGTGATGGTTGCTTTGTGGGAAGTAACTGACATTAATGAACATTCTCAAAGGAAAAGACAGTATCTGCATCTCACCCTCTATGTTCTGGAGCAGGTTTGAGTGTTCCAGGAAAGCTACATCTCCAAAGCTTCTTCCACTGGGATTGCCAACTAGGCACCTAGTGCAAGGGAAAAAAAAAGTGATCAAAGACAGCACTACATGGTGGCTGACATTTGGACAGTCATCTGAAGCTAAAACAGGAGTAGCTGGAAGTATCCCTCTCATCTCTAATCCCTTGGCATATGTTGGTAAACTCAGCATAGAGATTTGCTAGAACAATCCTTTTCATTCCTTACAGCAGCTCCCAAGTCAAAGCTGCTGCACAATGTGCACCTTCACCCATGCCTAGGCAGGAATGAGAATGGAATTCAACTAAATGCATTGTGTATATTTCCTAAGAGTGCTTTCATAAAAGTTTCACCTTTAATAGTCTTCCTTGCCTCTGTCTTCAACTATTTTTTTATCTCCTCTCTATTTAATTATCTCCTGTATGCTACACTGCTTATTACCAGAGCACCTCTGCTTTCTGGTCTTCTTTCATCCCTTTAATGAGTCAGTACCAATGCTCCAAGTCCTACATATCTGGAAGCATTGCCTTGCTCTGGAAATGGTTTAATTTTAAACCATCAGTCAGCTGAACATCCCATAGCAACTGCAACCAAAATAAAATACACACTAACAAAAGTTTATACAGCCAGATGATTAACAAATAGGAAAAAAAAGGCCTTCAAAAAACTCATCAAAATAATAAGGCAATTCTGGCTGTTGTTCTGCATTGCTGACTCTCACAAAAAACTCACCTGAGTGCTCCCATATTGCCATAGTAACGTTCATTGTGACTTGCAGCACATCTGCTGGACACTCGAGCTCCTTCCACCTCACCATCTCCAATGCACACCTTGCACAGGTTTCCATCTGCTCCTGGCATGCAGCCCTTCCAAAAGTAATTCTGATAAGCTGAGTAAAGAAAACTGAGATGAGATTAAGGCAAGGTGCCCCCAAGCCTCTTCATATATGGGAAAAGACAGGAAAGGAATTTCATCCTAACAACTAGCAAGAAGAGGACTAAATAGTGTGACACATAGTCAAATATGAGGAAAAGCTACTTCAACACCCTCTGAAACTGTAGTCATTAGTTGTTGGTTGGATCCTCATGGCCCCTTTTCTAGTTTACTCACAAATTTAAGCTTCAGATTTTCATGGTCTAGTTAAGAGAGAAGCCAGAGCAGCCCTTACCAGAGGCAATATCACAGTTCTCAGTATCATTCTGCCAAGCTCCCACTGTGTGTCTGGACAGAAGTAACCATCCTCCAGGACTGTACAGGTGACTGTGGCAGGATCTCCTTCCCCTAAGGTTATGGATGTGAATCTGTTTGGCACTTTTCTTAGCTAGAGCAACAGCATAAACCGGTGGTAGTGCTGTGAAATAATGACAAGAACCAGCTATACCAAGGCAATTAAGTATTCCAGAAGGGTACAGCCCCCCTTCCCTCCCTCATCTTGTCACAGTATTTTCAGTTACAGTACAGGAACTTAACACTCTCTGATTAGACACAAAGTTCTTGTCCTTGCACAGAAAATTCTATTCTAAACCAACATGCAAATACATTCCCGCATAAACACTAGAAAGTTTCTGTTACCTTTGTGTTGAAGATGAATTAGTTTTCCTGTTTTCTCCATGGTCTCAGCTGCTGGAGCACAATCTCCCCCTGGAAGGAAAGATAAGCATTAAGGATCTTGCCACTGCTGTCATCCCTTTTACATTCCTTCAAAACCCTTGTGATCCTTTTCAGCCTTGTCAGCACCTTTGTCCCTTTAACAGAGGGATAAAATAAACAGGCCAAATGCTAGAGCCAGTCAGTGGAACAGCTGTGAAGAGTATTTGGACATTTATAGTGACTCCTGCGTCCATCACAAAACATCACAAACTGTGGAAATTTAACTATATTCTTAACAGTACTTTTTTGATTTCCTCTCTTCTTGATAAGGTCACATGAGAACTCACCATAGCATTCTGCAGCTACAGGCACCAGTCCACATCTCCCTGCAATGTACACATGTGTTGCGTCCAGGGTGACTGCATCAGCCTCACTACTCTGCCAGCAGCATTAGAGAAAATAACAAAACCAGGATTTGCATGAATTGAGTATCCAAGCAGCAGGACTTCTCCACTGGCTGGAAATTCCCCTGCATAAATTCCCTCTCATTCCCACTTATTCCTCAAGCTAGCTTTCCTCTTTTTAGTTCAGACAAGACATACACATACCCTGTGCAGTCTTATACCCTGAGCAGAAGGAGTCTCCTACCTTGATCATTTCAATGCATTTGGTCATGGAAGTGGCTTGGACACAGACTAATGGGTCAGATTTGATGTTCAGTGCCCACTCCTCACATTTGCGAAGCTCAGCATCACTGATGCAGCACCAGCGCACAACGCTGTTGTCCAAAGAGCTCCCTGAAATGGAAGCAGATCATGTCACCAGTGCACCAGTCATGGATATGTTAAGGGGATTTTCAGGTAAATGCATTTGTGTCTGGAGGGAGGAATAACATGGAAGGAGAACTTTCTCTTCCCTTTCCTTAGCTACAGTCCTCTGGAATGGTTCTCACCTTCATGGCCGAGTCCCTTAAGGAGAGCTACATAATCCAGACCAAGGACATAGGCAATCTCCAGCTGCTCCTCAAGAAGCTGCAGGTGCTGAGTGGCATCTCGGAACAGCAGGTTCTTTCCCCCAAACGGTGCTGAACTGAAGAGTTCAAATCTGGCTCTTTCCTTTCCTTTATGCCCAAAGAGGCGCTGGGACAAGAACAACACTTTTAAATGGCAACAAATCTGCTCATTCTTCCAGCAACAGGCAGCCTCAGCCTTCCCTGCCTTTGTATTAGTGGTCAAGATATCAAATACTATTTATAAATTGAGAAAAAAAAGATGAAGAAAAGTGAGCCCTGCCTGAACCTATGAGTCTCCCTTAGCTACATAAAAATTGATTCAAGTTCCATGGCAGAATAAACATCATTAGCCATTTTCCAGTTTGTGTGTTATGGCATCTTCCCCTTTTTTACTGATTATTCTCAGCCTCCTACAGAAGAACACTTTAGAAAAAAGCAAAACCGTACACAAGCCAATGCAAGATCCTTCCCCAGAACAAACAATCTTTAGCACTTTATTCACACTAACTATAAAATTCTCAAGAAAAAAGGCAACCTGGGTCATGATTGCCACACAAAGATGGAAGAAAAAACTGTCTGGAGATAGACAGTTTATAATATTCACTCACTTGGATCATGCTAAGAAATTTGTTGGTGATCTTCTGGAAGTTGTTGCGGGTGACGATACCACGGCCAGGCCCCTTGCCCAGGTTACAGGTGCTGTATTCAGTCAGCTCAGCTGTGGACCCATCAGGACATAAGAGTTCATATTCCTGTTGTTCTGACTCTGAAACAAGGAGACACTCGTGAATCTGTGACCAGAGCCATGACTTTGCAGCAGGCACAGAGATGGAAAACGTTTCTCAGTGCAGGTTGCTAAAGGTTATGCAGGCAGCATGGTGTGTACCGAGCACACTTGGGAAAGTTGTCTTTGGTAAGTACTTCTTATAACAAAGAGAGGGACCTCAGCCAGAGCTGCTCCAAAATACTCTTTAAGCTGTACTGCTGTAAATACATTTATTTTAAAATACTTACCTGCAAATATTACTGCTAACCACCTTTGGTACAGAGTTCAACTGAGTTTAAAAGTACAAGACAGGTGTACAGGAACTTCACAGTTATGCAGCTCAAGACACTGAATTTTAAAAGGAATCTTGTAACTCGGGCAAAGCAAATACTGACAGCTGTGTGTCAGAGACATCTAATGAAATCACCTGTCCGCTCCCATTTTAAGAATCTCCTATTAGCAGTCATTGCTCACTCACACTTTCTTGCTCTGTTTCTTTCTGAGTTGTGTGAAGAGCCAAGAAATACCCCTGAACTGCTTGCAGGGATTTAATTTTCCCTGAAAAAAGCCAAAAATATAGGCATATCCCTCAAACACCTGCACAGGAAAGAGCACAGCCAGAGATTAAAAGAAAACTGCATTTTTAAGATTACCTGTGGCACTCATAATTCGTAGATGATCTAAAAAAGCAACATCTGCCACTCCATCCTTCAAGCACCTGCAGGAAGACAAATAACATCCTATTAACATTTCACCTGGCTTTCCTACCTTAAAAGTTCTTTTTCCCCCAAAAGTGAATTCAGGCCCAGCATCCCAAAGCTCACCTGAAGGCTCCCTCAGAGTCATAGAAGGGTTCATTACTGCTTGTCTCACAGAAGTGGTTCCTGTCTCGGACATAGGACTTTTGTCCTTGGCAGAGAGCACACAACTGAGGAGCAGCAACACCAACTCCAGGGATGCAACTTGCATTGAAATACTCACTAATTGCTGCAGGTGTAAGGGAAAAAAACCAAAACAAAACAAAAAGAAAGAAAAATGTCAAATGGGAAAAAAAATCAGAAGAGAAAAAGGGGCCAAACATATCATGGCCATAACTAGTTCATCCTACATCTGTTGGCATTTCAGTTACATTTGCTGTGGTCAGAGATAGCCCCATGGCTCCTATCACCTACCTTGGCTCAGAGGTTGGGCCTCATCCCAGGAAAGAGAATTTCTTGCAAGGAGGAAGCCAAGTGGAATATTCCAGCCCGATGTCCACCTGGCTCCATTGTGACAGCTTCGCACACCTCGTAGACTCTGGATATCCAGAGTTCCTCGTTTGGCAATGGCCACAGCAAACACACAATTTCCTGCAATAGCACAAAATGTAGAACGGGGAAAAAATTCAATTCTGCAGCTTCCATCCCTGAAGAGGAGCTGAACTACTTCAGTGAACATGGCTAAAGAAAAAATTATCTTAGGCCTATTCAATGTAGGTGCTAGGAATTTAACCATACACTGACTTTGACATGGCACCCTGTCAAACAAACAATGCAAGTTTGTCAGTACTGCAGGCAGAAAGGCTACTGGGTACTAAGTACCACTGGTATTTTGTTCATCATCATTAAGTATTTTAGAAACAATTATTAGCCACCCCCATATTCCTACAAAGCTAATAAAAAACATACAGCCTACCTTGATCATAGATCTCTTTTGCCACCACTGTCAAACCGTACAGCTTTACAGCAGAGTAAACATCTCCAGCATCCAAGGAGGCAGCATCTGCTTTATTTGCCTTTAAATTAACAGAAAAAAACCCTCAAAACAAGTGTGTTTACAAGGAAACAAACAGAAGTTTCAAGACTACAGTTTCTGCTTGAACAAATTTTAATTTAGTAGTTTATTTTTGTCTATTTATTTCCAAGCAGCTTTCACTATTTATTGAAGATTGCAAAGACATTCTCTGGGGTAAAACAGTATATCTGGTAGAGTGCTCACAGGATTTAAATCTTGCCTCTCAAGTGATGTGTCATGTAAGCACATATGCTGTCATATAAACAGTTCAATCATTTCAGGATAATTTTATTTTCCCATAGTTTCTGTTTACCTGTTACTTTTCCAAGAAGATTTGGATACAAAATCAGTTTTTAAAGTCTCTGTGAACTCACCCTTATTTTATCAATGCAGTCATATGTATTGTGGGCTCTGATGCAAGAAATCCTAGTAAAGGAACTGGCAGTAGTGAGGGGCAGCACAGCTGTAAGTGCTTTGGAAAGCTCAGCACACTTTCTTTGTTCCAGGTCAGAAAGGGTGCACCATCGGAATTTCTTTCCTGTAGGGTCAAAAAAGAAGTCAAGATTTGTAGGATTTCATTAAAAACCCTCAGATTAACACCTTATGGAAGAGAGGGGTTATTCTATTTTATTTAACTTCCCAATATCTTTATTGTCCTCACTCACACTCACATACCCACACACTTAGAGGCACCCAAGAGATGTGCTCACGTGTGACCAAGGTCACTTTTGCCTAACATGAAGATAATGTTTGATGCTGAATTTTTAATATATCTCTTTGCTTCCTTTTGACTGAAAGCAACCAAATAGTTTTAGGCAGATTTCTCAAGAATCAGCAATTATTATGGCAAAATCTTTCACCACAGAATCTTCCTTGCTTCAACCTTAGTGAATTTTAGGTAAGACTGCCACCCAAAATTAGGAGAAACCAAAGGTAAGGATGTGTTTATGGCTACGGCCTGTTTTCCTGTTGGGACAGCAAGAGAAGGAATGACACAATGTAGGGTAACCATCTTCCTGTTACTGCAGTGCAGATTTTCCCCTAACAAGTCAACTGGGATGTGACTCTATTAGAGCACAGACCTTCCAGCCTTGATGTGAACATGCATTCCCTGGGGTTTATCAGTTTTACTGCTGTCCTTGGTTGTCAATACAGGCCATGCTTTTAACCTCTGCTCTGCTGCTTCCTCTGGTGCTTTCACATACCAAAAAGATACATTTAATGGTGGAGGTGAAGGTGAAACTTCCTTTTTCAGAAAGACTTGGAGGTTCAGTGGGTTTAAACCAATGATAAAGCTACATCTTAAAGGAATCCAGACATGCCAACAAAATTTCCTCTTTTGCTTTAGGCTGCAATTATTCCATCTTGTATTATTCCTCTGAAATACATTCTACTCTGAAATATATCATCATATGTATCTCCAAGAAGACACTAGACACTTAAAGAGGGGGGAAAAGTGATTGTTGTACACAAAAATAGCATGCAGTTATGTAACTCGAGAGAATCTTAAGCCATTTAATGAAAACCAGGACTGAACACACAGAAAATGCCACAACATCTCTACCATTGTCATTTCCAGATGTTTCAGCATTTGACTCTCTGGAGAACTATTAATACTAGCAATGTGTACAATTAAATCATTGAAGTTTTTATTTCTTTGAGCACAGCATTAGACATTAGTGCTCCACTTGTTTTGGTGTTAATTCAGCACAATTCCAAGAACTTGTAGTGGTTTTAGAGCGGAGCAGCTTGAGGGCCACTGCTTCATTCTGACACCGCTAACGAGTACGCAGATCTCAACTATTCAAAGGAAACAAACCCTCACTGAATTACTAAGGAAGTTGTGTATCAAGCTGCTTCAAAACTAAAAGGTCACCATCTGCCAATGATCAAACAGAAAAAATACAGGCACAGTTTAACTGCAACTTCTTTCTTTGCACAAATGAAAACAAAACCAAAACATCTATTAGTTTGAACATCACCCACCCAGAGGCAACCCTTCTCTCTCCCTCTCTGCGTCAGCCTTACCTGAAGCCAGCAAAGAAAAGGTGATTAGGACAATTAAAATCACTGTCTTCATCATTGCAGCAGTTCAGCAAGGATCTTCTCTCTACCCTGACTCTGCCTTCTCATACCAGGAATTCCACAGCGATGACCAAAGCTTCTGGAAGATAACAAGACATCAACAAGGATAAATCAAGATTTAAGGAAACAATCAGAGGATGGTATACCCTTGTATGCAAAGGAGAAACGGACTGTGTCCCTTTCCCACCCGAAGACAGAAAATATCCATGCATTTTCTGCTCTATCCTTATCAGACACAGAAAGAAATGTAAACCTCTGCTTTAAAAAGAAATAGCACTTCTGCTGTTTCAAAAGGCATCCAAATGCCTCTGGGAGATGGGCAAGACTTACACCTAACTTACAAAAAAGATACCTAAAGCTAAGTGAATTGTCCAAACTACTGATCATATAGCTCTACAAAATACTGAAAGGTCCTTCTTATCTTTTCACCTGATAATGGCTTTTCTACTGAGTAATTTTAAACAAAAAGTAATCCTATGCCTCCCTAAGAATTCAGAACAGAGCTGGGACACTGCTGACTGTCTTGAGTATCTTCATTCCATTCCAGCCCAGCAATCTTATCCAAACTACTTTATTCCCCTATTTTCTAATGCTTAACCTGAAGGATTATTACTTCTTAATTACTCTACAGCAGCTATTAACATTATTAATTCTATAGCAGAGAAAAATTACATATATTTATATATTATATATGAGAGAAAAATACATTTATTTATGTATTATATATAAGCAGAAATATCTGATGATATATAAAATACTGCTAATATGGTTTCTTCTGTTCAGGAAATAATTAACTCTTCCAAGAGTTCTGGAGGAATATAGTCTTTATCCTACTTTTCTTTTCCTTCTTCATCTTAGAGATTTCCCTGGTGTTTTGTTCATCTATTTTTGCAGATACATTTACCAGATTTCTTTGGTTGCCTTATGTGCCCTTCCCTAGTGATTCAGTCATCATTCCCCACCTGCTTCTTTCACACTCACGTATTGCACATCTCTTGAGTTTCGCAAGTTCCCTCTCTAGATCTGCAACATTTGTTGAGGTGTTGATTCCCACTGATCTGACCACAGAAGGAGTTACAGAGAACCACAGGATGGTTTGGGTTGGAAGGGACCTTAAAGGTCATCCTGTTCCACCCCCCTGCCAAGGGCAGGGACACCTTCCACTAAATCAGGTTGCTCCAAGCCCCATCCAGCCTGAGGCATTCCTGATTTCTCCCTGCACTACCTGGAACAGAGGCTAGACAGAGTTAAAGGAATAAAGTAGGTATTTATTAAAGGCCTTCAAAGGATACACCTTGGGCAGTGCAAGAGCCCAGCTGTGGCTCTACGGAAGATAGACCCAAGATGGACAACCAGTCATGAGTTTTCTCACTTTTATAAGTTGGGGTTGATTGTCCAATTACAGCTTCAGGTTATGAAGTCCCATCCTCCCAGACTGGTCTCCTCAGTTCGCTGTTGTTTGCACTTTTGGGGCTTGAAGCTGCAATGGTGTCCTTGGCTCTTGGGCTGGATTATTGTTTTGGCTAACTAAACTATGAAGAGAACTTGCTAGCACTTTATATAAAGTTCAGAGTTACACTCTAAGGCAGTATAGAATCTGGAAAATATGAAAGCTAAAACTTAAGGCATCACCTGAACATTCTCAAGCCCAAGATCTCCAGTCTCTCATTTGCTGGAGGAGTGTGGTACTAATCCCCTCTTTGACTTAGCCCAGCTGCACAGGCCTAGCAGAGCTCAGTGCCCTTAGGAATCAAGTTTTATCCCTCCCTGAGTGCAGTCTATATAATCTTACCAGATGTTAAAAAACCCATAAATGTAATAACAAGACACATGATAATTAATTTTAAAACAGTTACGTGTCCACATATTTACTTTTAATTCCAAGGAGAAAGATTCAATCAGGACATATTATTTAATCAGTTTAGCCTTGTGACAATTATTTTATGCTATAAACAAGCAAGTTACATTTAACTGCACCTTAACCTCTGAATCATTTCTCAGTCAGATCTGGGGAAACTTGTCTGTCAGTGAGGTGCACTTACACATCAAAGCTAATGGTTCTTGCAAGGCTAACCAAAGCACCTAACAGCATCAAATCTCATCTTCTTTGAGGTTTTACTTCCTGCCAGTCCTACTATTATGTACAGGATATGTAAATCCCAACAATTCAGTCAGCTAATAATATTACTGTTTCATGAGGTCTGTATCTGGATTTGCCCTCAAATTTCACATATTTAACAATGAAAGGCTTTCCTGTATGTGTTTCAGATACTTATACAGATACTACTACCTATGGTGATGTGAAAAAAAGGCAGAGTCACATGAAGGTGTTGTAGACTTCATTTAGGCCTGGTCAGGAAAATAAACAAACATAAATCAGGAATTTATATTAAATTAATCAGCTTGCCTGAGGACTATGTGTTAAAGCATTAAGGATGTGGAAACACAGTCAAGACTCTTGAATTCTTTTCCTACTGATTCACCATATGAAACTGCCACAGTCAGAGAAAGGGAATTAGCTACTTCCCAGCAGTGTAGCATTTATTCATCTAGGGATGCATCTAAGAGAGTGGAAAACCAAATAATCTCCATAAAATTCACTCTGGGCAGCGGGCAGCCAGGCAAAGGACGGCAGAGGAGGAATAGGTGTTACTGCACTACCCCGCCAGACACCTCACTTGGAGGAACAGCATCGTGTCCATCCCATGTCGCATGTCCTCTCCCTAAAACCCCTGCCTTAATATTCCTGGTGGTCCCACACCTGGGGGAATTAACTTACCTGTCTGTCAATCGCAGCGCTGAAAAGCAGCTGAGCCCCACCCGCCTCATCCTGAACTCCCAGCACCAGCGCCCTCCTCCCGCTGGGCACAGCCCGCAGCTCCATCCCCACAGCACAAACCCTCAGGAACCACCGCTCTGTCCCCACTCTACTTCCCCTGCAAAATGTCCCCACATCCCGCTCCCTCAGGGCCGGCCCTATCCCCATTCCACATCGCCTCAGCGACAGCCCTTTTTTCCTCCGCACAAACCGCCCTCCTCACAGATCAAACCCCGCTTTGAAGAACAGCCTCGCACCCGCATCCCCACTCCGGGTCTCCCCTCAGGAATGAGCCGCTCCCTAAAGGGCGAATCCCCTCAGGAATAATTCCCCCTCACACCCGCCATGCCCGCGAGCGCCGCTGCCCTCACGGGCGGGCCCGCCCCTGGCCCCGCCCCCCGCGCTGTTCCCGCCCCTGGCCCCGCCCCCCGCGCTGTTCCCGCCCCTGTTCCCGCCCCCGCTCTGTTCCCGCCCCCGCGCTCGGGACGCGGCAGAGGACGCGGCGGCGGCGGCGGCGTGGGAAGATGGCGGCGGCTGCGGCGCGGAGCAGGTACGGGCACTGTCACTGTGATTGTCACTGTCATTGTCACTGTCATTGTCATTGTCTGGACCCGGCAGCGCTGTCTGACAGCCGGCACCCCGCGGGGGAGGAGGAGCCGGGCTGGGGGCCGCAGCCGCCCCCTTCTCGCCCCCCTCGTTCGCTGACGTTTCCCTACCGGGGTGAGTGCGATTGTCTCTGCAGCCTTGGCCCTGCCCTTGGCATGTGTGAGGAGCCTTGCCCTCCTTCTCCAAGCTGGAAAGGAAGATAAGGGGTTTAAGTACTCTAAGAACGAGGAGCGTGTGGCCTTGTGTAGTTGTAACTCGGTTTTGCAGTCTGTAGCTGTCAGTGTGTAGGTGCTGAGTAGCAGTCGGTAGATGGGGAGCAGCTGCAGCCCCTCGGGTTATGCAAGCCGAGGTGGCTGTGAGGAGAAGCACCTGGCCGGGCACGGATACTCCTCTACAGGAGATATCCTCTTACAGGTTGTGCTTTTCATAGCAACCAAACAGCTTAAGCAATGCTGTTTCTCGGCCACAGTTCTCTGCTCTTGAATAGCACACACAGTCCCCTTATTCCCCTTTCTCTCAAAACCTGGAGAAAACACCGTGTGCACGGAGCGTTCTGTTACCTCTGGCCTCAGTGCTGACAGTAGGAGCTGTCCCTCGTCCAGAGATGGCTGAAGACACAGAGGGGCTGCAGTTAACATGGAATTCCTTGGCAGTTCCTTTTCCACCAGCCTCCAGTCGGCTGGGAGAGGCAGGAGGTTAATACTCCAACATGCATTTGTACCCATCAAGGTCAGGCTGTCAGGAGCAGGGAAGGTGAGACTGTTTAGTTTTGTTGTCTGTGCCTGTTTTTAGGCAGGTTTCAGAGTAAGATGGAAACTGATTTTCCAGTGTGGGACACCAAAAACAATTTTTGTAAGAGCTTACGGTTACGTGTTGTATCCTTAAACTGTCTGAGGACATACCAAGTCTCAGGTGCCCTGCCCTGCCCCAGCAGTGAGAACAGCTCTCGGATGCTTCTGTGAAGCCAACACAACTTGTTCTGTTCTGGCTGCATTTTTGTGTAGGCTATTATGTAGGAAGGCTAATAAATGTCTCAAATACTAATGCTTTAGGCTGCAGTTAAGTTTTAATAATGTTTTCCATTACTTTTTAGGATTTGAAAACTCTTCTGCTAAATTTAAGTCTAATGCTAATTCGATTAGTTCCTTATTTTTTGAACCCCTTAGAAGTAGCCCATAGGCTCCCAGCTTACTGATGAGCAAGTGTTCCTTTTATCCCAAGTGTTTTAATATGTTGTAAAACAGGCCTTGTAAGTCCACAAATTAGTGTAGGCCTGGTATGACCCAAGAACATCAGGTGACCTCGTTCATGACAAATTACAACTTGTTGCTCTATAGAACATACAGGTTCTGCAGCAGTGGGAGCACTTTTTCTGTCTTGCTAAGGAAATAACACCCTGGGAGATGATGCAGCAGTGAAGCATGTTTAGCACGTGGTTACAGGAATCTGCGCCTTGGGGAGGGTCTGTCCTGTCCTGTTTGGGTTAATGCAGGGATTTTAACAGAGACCATGGGGATGAAGGGCAAAGTGAGATATTCTGACACTGTTGCTGTGGGGATGAGAGAAAACTTTAGCTCTTGGACCTTGGCTAATGTTAAAGCATAGTTATCAAGTGTGCTGGCATAATGATGTAACTTCTAGACAAGAAATCTGTACATTCTTTTTTGAAATAAAGGGATCATGCCTATATGTAACTCAGTAGACACCTGAAATTAAGTCTTTAAATTCTTAATAATGACTTCCTGAGATTGAATGGCCCCAAGTGATGCAATAGCTTGTAAGCTACTAAAGTAATTGTGTCTTCCACGTATCTGATCAAGAGCAGATGAAAGGCCAGAGGGCAGATGAAGACATCCAAGCTGTGGCACTGCCTCCTTAGAATGAGCAGGTTGCACAAAGATCTGGTTCTTCCTAAGGATCTGAGCCTGTTGGGGTGAGAACACTGTCCCTCTCCTCCCTGTGGTCCTGTCTGACAGCAGGATGTTGCCAGGCTACAGTCAAATACTTGTTTAAACAAGCTTATTTACAGACTTGGATCAGTTCTTGTACAACTGGATGTCTTCTTGTCAGATTTATTACGAACGTGAAATTAAACACTATATATTAAACACATGAAAAGTCCTGGGTGAACCCTTTCTGTATATTGGGCAGTTCCAAGTCTATTTTATGTATTTTCAGAGAGGCAGAACCACTCTCACTGCAGTTCAACAGGGAACAGAGTGGTAAGGTAAATTCTAAAGAAGAGCTGCTGTGCCTGGCAGCCTTTTTACTTTTTCAGCTACACCATTTGTCCAATAAATGCCATTACTTCTTCATGGAATCCAAAACTTCTCTATGTACTCCTCCTCCTTCCCACCAGGATGGTAAAGCAAAAGCTAGATGAACCAAATTCTAAGTGTCTCTCTGTACAGGTGCTGTTGTAGGAGGTTCTTAAATGTAGCAGCCCAGTGGAAATGGACTAATCCCAAGTACTAAACAATAATTATAAAATTTACCACTCCATTTGCATTTTAGAGCTCCAAACAGGCCAAGATACAGTACATTCTGATAACTTAAGTAGTTACCTGTAAAGGGCTGTTGGCAAGATCAGCATTTACAATACTCAGAAAAGTATCACTGTTACAGCAGCCCAAGAGGAACATGTCAATATTTGTTAAGAAAAAGAAAGTATAAAGATGCATCATTAAATAAATACCCACAGGCACTGTTGAATTGTTAGGTTTTTCAATTTGTTTTTAGGAAAGGAGTAGACCAAAAGGGACTAGGCTCTGTGGAAATTTTATGATAATTTGAGTAGACTCTTCCCTGTTATTCAGCTGCTCAATATTAGATGGTCACCACACTGAACTGCTGACATTGGCATTATTAAACATTTGTACTTAAGCAGCCCCTTTCTTGTTTGTTGTGTTTGCAGCTTGCTGTGCAGCTGTAACTTGCTGGTGCACAAGAACCTGTGTGTTAGAGCTGGAGTCCTGTGGAAGCAGCCTCCTTCAAGGACATTTTTCAGTGGTAAGTGATGGCTTGTAGCTACAAGTGGTTTTAAATTCAGGGTCACTCCAAGTTAGGCAAATTATGGTCTCAAATTGGGGAAGGTGAATTTTTTTAAATGAAAGGAGTGGGAGTCCAGCATCAAGGAACAATTAATGGCATTTCATTAGACACAAGCTTCCAGATTATGTTTTCCATATAGTAAAAGAAGCATGTTTACCTTTTTCATAAGACTCATTATGAGCTGTTGTTGTTCTTTGTTTTCCAACTTTACAAAGCATCTGAAATTTTTTTCTAGTGAAGATGATTCCTGTATAGCAAATTAAAACACATTAGTCATAGGTTTATTTTGCTTAATTATTTCCTGCACTTTAGTTAGTTTTCTCAGGAGTATAGAGTTCAAAAATTAATTTTTTTTAAACACAGTATAATTTACCAGAAAGATTCATGTTAGGACAGTGCTTTTACATTTAAAAAAACCCACTTAAATGAACTTGATGAGCAGTAATTTGTGTACTTGCCACACCTACTGAAGTGACTAACTGGGAAGGACAACATCAAACTTATGCATATTTAGAATATTCAACTGTATGACCTGTTTTGTAGTGCTGCTCTTATCAGTTGTTCACCTTGAAAAGTCTGAGAGATTCAGATTTCAGCAGTTTAACAGCCCTATAAGAAAGAAAAGGTATACATACATATCTTTTTTTATTCCATCTGTACTTCTAATTTTAATAGATCAAGAAATCACAGTAGGTTTACATGAAATGTTGGTTTAAATGGTACTTGCACTTGATGTTTCTGTAGCTGGGTAATGCTTTGAAGATCAAATATTATTGTTTGCTTTTAAGGAATATTTGTAAACTTGTGTGTGCATTGCCATATATTAGTATCACAAATAATAGTTTTCAATTTTTGTTTCCTTGCCGGCTGAGCTATTGGTCCCATTTTCCAAAACCATTTATTTGGGTTAACTTGCCTTCCAAGTGCTTTGTCTGGCATATCATATATATTTCATTATTGAAAAATATGCTTACATAGATGAATAGAAACAGCAGCTCTTTGTTGTCTATAAATCAGTCATTACAGAAGAAAAAATCTTGGAAGCTGAGACATAATGCAAAGTTGTTGATCACAAGGAAGAAAGGGTCATTTTATCCTGACATTTTCTAATTCATTGATATTTTATATTCTGATTTGGATTTAAAGGAAAGATAACTCTTCTGTAATTTTATCTCTACCCCTTATAATGGCCTCCTCTAAGTGTTTCTGTCATGTCCTGGAAGAAATTCTTAATTTGGTCAGAGCAATGAAGCAGCATTTATGTTAATGCATCTAACTGCATAAGCTAGAGCTCTCCTGCCATTATTCAGTTTCCTTTCTCATCCTGAATTTTCCAGCATTTCTGAGAGATTGTGTATTTTTCACCTGTTCCAGAGAAGGAAACTGTTACTAATTTTTATTCTCCTTTGCTGAATATACTCAGTGTTTAAGAGAATTCTGGAAGAGGTTGGCTGTATCTGTGAGGGTTTCAGATTTAGGGTAGTATCTAAAAATGTTATTAGTACATTGACAGTCCTGCATCCAGCACATTGCCCTGGACTTGTTGCTGGTGGCTCTTGTGCCAAGGTATGAGCTCTCCACACACTCCCATGCTGCTCTCCAGGGAGCAGCAGTAGCATCACTAGAAACACGATGTTCAGCTGAAATCTAAGCAGTGCCAGCTGCCTAAACCTGGAT